TCCCAAACCTGCTTTTCTTCATGCCCTAGTTGCTTCCCATCTTTGGCTTTATCTTTCTAAACTCTTCCCAATTGCAGACTGTCAAATTCACATGCTTGTCAAAAGCCGTAAGGTGCCAACGGAGACCCGGCCAGGCTGTAGGTCACGTGCTGCAGCACCTCATTCTACGGTCAATGTGCTGCACTTTGCTTCTCGTGCCCACGGTCATGACTGCCGTTCCGCCAAATTCAATATTCACAGAACTTCAAGACTTTTCAGACCTAAGGGAAGGCTGGTCCGTACTCTACCTCACATGCAAACATTCCCTTGCTCGCTCCAGCACATCACTGAGCTCTCCAGCAGAAGCTTGGCTCCTCAAAGACTTGCTGCCACAAACTGCCACCTCTGACCACTTCCTATGTTCAAAGTGTCCATATTCTTCCCTTCCTCAGTTTGCCAAAAATATCTATAAAATTGTCTTTGTGTGGGGTGCCAGAGGGAAGGACAATTCAAAAAATAAGCACACGGATGAAGGAAAGGTGATGGCAGTGTGGCGTTTCCACCTGGCTTGCTATTCCTTATAACGTCGGCTTGACAAAACAGCAGCCCAAGCCACCTCCCCAGCGAGGGGCAGTACTCTGTGTGACCAGTACATCAGTCCGCTAATGCAATTACAGATGCCATCTCTAATGATCAGACACTGGTAGACACTGGATAAACGAAGGTTGCTTTAGAGGAAGAAGCGGGTGGGTAGTGTCTGTACTTGGTGTCATCTACGAAGCAGACATACTGGCCTTCCTGGCCAGCACAGAGCCACTGCAGTTTCTGTCCTGCTGACTGGAACTTTCATCCTGCTGGGACCTCTGCTCAAGCAGCAACTCTTTTAGCGAGCCCTTACATCAAGCTCATCCACTGTTCACACGTGGCCCAGCTCCCCTCATCCCCAGCACTCCCCACAGGAACACTTACCTGTGGACTCGGCTCAGTTCCCCTTCATTCCCCACTGGGCCCTGCATCCCGGGTACTACTGGGTACTACCTGGCACATGCCTGATGGATAAATGGATGCAGTGCATGATGAAGCACAGGGACATTCCTTACGTTTGGTATCTATTTTAGAAAGATAGATGTGACTTAATCTGTGGAGAGAGCTTTAGCTGCCTCTCTAGACAGTTCTTACAGAATGAAAACAAAATGGCCCAGGACACAAAGTCACAGTATTATTTAAATGCAACCAATTGTCTGGACACAATATTAGAGCATTTCCTTCATCACCAATTTATTAGCAGCAGATTCATTTTATCTTTCACATAAAAGACTACAATTGATTATTATTCATTTTTTAAGCAGTAACAAAAGTCTGAGGAAAGCACAGGCTCACTGCCACAAGTTACACTATGAAAATGGCACAGAATCCGATGCAGTGGCCTGGTGGCTAAAGACCTTACCTTGAACACTCTCGAAACCCATATGGACGCCGGTTCCAATCCCAGCAGCCCCACTTCCCATCCAGCTCCCTGCTTGTGGTCTGGGAAAGCAGTCGAGGATGGCCCAAAGCCTTGGGACCCTGCACCCATTTGGGAGACCTGGAGGAAGTTCCTGGCTCCTGGCTTTGGACTGGCTCAGCACCAGCTGTTGCAATCACTTGGGGAGTGAATCACTGGATCGAAGATCTTCCTCTCTGTCTCTCCTCCTCTCTGTATATCTGACTTTGCAATAAAAAATAATAAATCTTAAAAGAAGAAGAAGAAAAGAAAACGGCTTTTGAGGACAGAGCATTTTGCCATAGGAACAAGAGACACTCTGGCTCGTGCTCTTGTCTGGGTCATAAGAGCAGCGGTTCGAGGGAAGCCAGGCTGGAAAGCAAGGGAGGAAAAGGGTGAGGAGGCCCAAGAGACTGAATGGTTGCCTTCCCACACTATGTGCTACGCTGTAACACACCAGGAGGAAAAAACAAACTGCAAAGCCTCAATTCTACTTGGTAGCTTTAACAAACGTCTAAAGCAACTAAATTTGTTAAGTAGCTATTAATTACACAGAACAAGCATAAATGTTAGAACATTCTACTTCTCTCTGACACAATATAATCTATTTATTTCCCCTTTGCCTTGTCTTTTTGAGACATGCTGACTTAAGATGTAAATTAACTAGCTAGTAGGCGGAAAACCAAAGGATTTCCCATTTATATCTAAAATCCATTTTTTTCTCATAAAGAAATTAGAAAGGTATAACATAGCTAGTTCTGATCTTTTACTAACTATATAGAATATAGAAAGACAAAGAAAATTGATGAAACTGTAAGCAATAAAGGTAAATTTACTTTACAATTCTTCCTTTCAAGGTTTTCTATTCAAGAAAGAGACCTTGGGGCCTACACAGCAACGCAGCACATCATGCCAGTTCATTCAGCTCAGAACTTATGCCGCCTCTTGTACCACACTGGAGTGCCAGTTCAGTCTTGGGGTCCAGCTTCCCGCTGACGTGCTAATGAAGGCAGTAGCAGATGACCCAAGTAACTAGCTCCATGATGCTCCCCCGCCCCCCGTGTGGGAGGTTCAGATGCAGCTCCTGGCTCCTGACTTCAGCTTGTCCCAGGCGGCAGTTGCAGCCAGTTGGGGAGTGAACCAGTAGATGGAAGATCTCTCTCATTGTTGCTCTATCTTCTATCTCTCCCCTCTGTGGCAGGAACTCCTGGGGACCCCTATCCTCAAAGTGAAACAAACAAACAAAACACCTGCCTAACTACCATAGAGACTTTGAAACAGGGGTCTTTTGGACACAGAGGATGGAGGGAGTTTTTTGAGAAACACCGCACATCCAACTAGCTCAATTACAGTAATGCTATTAGGCCAACTGTAGCAATTCAAGTGCACAAGGCTGGGTAGCTATGAGTAGTGCCACTGCACTAAAATACTCAATCAAACATGGTATAATGGAACATGTATTAGAAAGCTCCTTTGCGCTAGGGTATAAGAGATCACACTCTGCTTTTGTTTGGGGCTCAGGATTGAGAGTAAGCGCTTTCCTCTGGACCTCCAGGCACCAAAGGATAAAGCTGTTTTCTCCCATTAAGTGCCTTGGTATGTCCAGCCCTTCTGTCTGAATACCCTACCGCATTTCTGTGCTGCTCTGCCTTTTGAATAAATAGTTTTTAAGAAACAAAATAGATTCTGGGTACCATGATGTTCTGAGCTGAATGAACTGAGTCTATGCCTAGAGATGTGTGAAATCTAGGGAAAGTCGTAAGGTTGAAATTAACGTGCTTAATAATTTGGCTTTATGCAATTAAGAATGTAGGCATCAGAAGAGTTCAGTACTTTGGTGGCAACCAGCTGCATTCAGATACGCTAATTATTTCAAGCATTCTCATATCCACCTATTGCTACTACTGAATGGTTTCTGGTCCTCAGTGCTCCATAGCGTTATGTTTAGCATTAGAACGCAGGCAGGTGATGCAGGGATCACTGGCTCTGTTTTACATGCTCTGGAATGACTAAAGCCTTCCTATTTCCTTAGAGAGCCTACAATCTCAAACAAGAAATCTCACCACCTGACCTAATCAGTGGATGGCTATAAAGGTTGGGATTGTAAGCTTAAGGGTTTCGTGACCAGCGTCTAGTCAGAGTCTCGTGTCATATCTCCACAGAGTAAACACCACGGTCATACATAATAAGCACCTGATAAGAAGGAGAAAAAAAGCAGTTTGGCTCCCACAATCAACCCTGTTGCTTAACCAGAAAATTATTCACAGCCTCCTTTCTACAGACACGGCTAAGGTTCACTACCAAGGGCAGGTCACATAGAAAAACCCAAGTAACAAAAACTTAGGGTTCTTTCAAAAAAAAAAAAAATGAGCTCTGCCAATTCACAAGACTGACACTGGTCCGCACATACAGGAGGACTAGGATCTCTCCAGGAAAATTCAGCTTAAAAGCTCAAGTTTAAATAAAGTGTCTGCAGAGAAAAAGTGGCTATTCTAGAGGACAGAAATGTCAACATACAGGGCTGCTGCTCCACAGCCGAAATTCTTTCTCTCTCAAACACACACTCCCATCCACACTCACTCACATACTCACACACACACACTCACTTTCACACACACACTCACATTGACACACATACACACTGACACACATTGACACACACACACACACACACTTACACATTCACAATGTGTTCCACACTGGGACAGAGTTGCACCAACAGGCACCCTAAAAACGAGCCTCATCCATGTTTCAGGCACAGATTCTAAAAACAAAATCAGTTGCAATTTTGGATAAAAATTAGTACAATGGAAAAATACACAGGCAATCAAAAAAGCATATATTCTTTTTTTTTTTAATTTTTAACACATAATCAAAACAGAGACATTTTCCTAATTTTTTTTTAGCACTAATATGTGACCTCCCCCTAGAGTAACAATATGAATGTCAGGGTAAAGAACTGAAAACTAAAGTTAAAAAGAAGGTGATGCTGAAAGATTCTGGAGCAAACAGTAACTGAGTGACTCTTTAAAGCAGTTCTACAGTGACGGAGGTTAGGGCAGAGTGTGATCAAAACCCTGGAAGACACACGATGAAAATTCATTTTCTGTAGTTTAGAGATAAGGAATTTACAGCTTATTCGCTCTAAATTACAAAGCTAGTACTAGAATCTGGACCTTCTATCCTCTAAGCTCACTCCCATTACTACAACTCAACAAGGTTAGGAAAAGCTGGCTGGATCCACAGGCTAAATGATAAGAACAACAGTTAGCAATAACGACAGAATCGTTTTTAATCATGACTTATGATTAAGCATTAAATGTTAACCAGTTCCAAGTTTAGCAAAATCCTTTCTCAAGTCTATCAATGTGTAGTACATTGTAATAGGAAAATCTGACTCCTACTTCAGCCATCTAATTGGCCATTAGCTGTAGCTATTCGGCCTACAGAGTCCCTTAGGAGCAGCATCAAAGGCAGGAACTGGCATCTACCACGTGGACACACGTTACAGCGCCTCCCTCTGGCCAGCAGGACTTACCTCGACGGGTACTTCAGACAGTAAGCAGCAGCCAAGAAGCCACCCAGGTTGTGACCAAGTAAGATCATTTTGTCCAACCCTAGGGCACATCTCCACTCTTCAATGGATTCCACAAACTGATTTTCCACTTCTTCCGCATCGCTGTCAAACCTGGGTCTACTGCTTCGTCCAAAGCCCAGCAGGTCAAAAGCGTAGACAGGCCTATCGGTGCAAAGATCTCCAAAATTCAACACCCAGAGTCCCAGACCTCCTCCAAAACCATGGAGGAGGACAAGCGGAGTTTTATTTGAAATACTATGAGAGAACTTCAGTGTCCATATTTTGTTTCCATTAGATATACGAACAGGCTCCTTTTTGTATGTGCAGGGGACACCTAATGGAAACACAGAAGAGAGATTCTGCTCAGTTAATACTTGTGGGAAGGGGGTATTCTTAGAGCAGTCAAAAATGAACAATCTGGAGACTATATGGCATCCTGTCATATCATCCTCACCCTTCCTAGGTCAGCCCTTAAGGGAGAGCAGAAGTTCTAAATGACCAGGTTTGACATCTAAGTGGCAAGACTTACCTCAGAGGAGCCTCAAGCGGTTGTGGCCAAGTTTCTGCAAAGTCACCTCACCTCGTGCCTTTTTCCCACATCTGTCAACAAGGGTATTATTTACATTTCCAGAATTGGAAAGGAATTTAGTGACCTCTGAATCCAGGATCTAAAGGGCTCCAGCATTGTAGACATCAAGAAAAGAAAACCAGCCTAAATTTGAGACCATCTGACAGACTAAGGACTGAAGGCTGAACTCAGACTCAAAGGAACCACTATGTTTAAAAAAAAAAACAAAACCATCATGATTCGGAGGAGGATTAATGGAATCTGTATTAAAAGTATTAAACACACATCTGAAATCTTCAATCACTTCAAAGTTCTATAGAAACATGGTGATGGTATGGTCGGTATGGTGGGAACTCGTTGGCATGTGGTTACAGGTAACCTGAGGACAAGCCTCAAAAAAGGCAAATAATTGCAATTTTATAGATCAAAACTCACTTGCCTTCAATGCTATGAGCCTAAATACTTTACATACTGCCCCAAAAGGACTACAGATAAAATTTGAAATTCAACAACTGAACTATCAACTGAACAGCTACACTTCAGACATACGCCTTAATTATTTGTGCATATTCATCCGCAATGGACAAAACCCATGATACCATTGGGAATTCCCACCCTCTAGTGCAATCCACATACGTAACGCACATATGGGTATCAAGAAGAAACTCACTAGTCCTTGAGAATAACAGACCCCATGTCCGCAAATGGGAGGTGGGGAAGATGTCACCAGCTTAGAAAAGGAGCCAACAGGTATCAGTGCCATGCATTCTGAACACAGCTATATGAACCCTCTAACACTCATCTGGAACACCCATTAGCACTCTCACCCTGCGCGTTAATCACTGGCTTTCATATCTGATGCTGGAGCAGGGGTCAACCCATATGTAGTCCTGTCTGCATCATAGAACCTAGTCAGGAAATCAATGTGTGTGTGCTAAATGCACAAATCGAGCAACCAGCTTTTTCTTTATGTCCAGACAAGCTTTTTGTTTCTGTTGTTTTATCTATTTACTTGAAATGTATAGTAAGAAAGAGGAAGGAGAGAAAAAGTGCTCTTTCTATCCACTGACCCACTCTAAATGGCTGCAACGTGCAGGCAAAAGCCACATGTGTGGAACTCCACCAGGCTCTGCCACGTGGGTGCAGGGGCCCAAGCACTCATGGTATCTTCCACCATTTCCCCAGAATATCAGCAGGGAGCTGAGCCAAAAGCAAAGGAGCCGGGGCTCAAACCCAACATTCACACCAATGCTGGCATTACAGGAAGAAGCTTAACTTGCTGTGCCACAATGGCAACTTCAACAATTTTTCTTTTGTTTTGGTAAACTATAAACCATAATGATAAATCTGTCACTCTGTCACTTTGTATTGACCAAGATGACTCAAGTATGAAGTAAGCAGAAACTCATTTTCACATTGGAAATTCATGTAAGATGGCTAATTATCCCTTCTATGAGTATAATCAAAAATAGTCACTCCTAAATCACTCAAATAAACAAACAAGAAAACAAACTAGTAGATGATTAAAATCAGAAATGGACAAACATCTGCACACACTCAGTTAAATGTCTAAGCCCTACACCATTTAATTCACTCTTTTTTATTATATCAGCTCAACTATCGCCCATAAAAGTTCCCTGGAAGAGTGTAACAGGGACTTGAAGCCAAAGGGTTTGAGCTCTTCCTACCCCACTGTCATTTAACCCTGTCACCCCTAGACCCCACTGTCATTTGGTACTTGCTGATGACACAAAAGAGGCACAACTGCCGACAACTAACACCTCACAGAAGCTTATCTCCATTGTGATAGATTAGATCTATTTTAATAAACATCAGTTAGATTTATTTAAAAAAAAAACTTACATTTCAGCATTTTCTCTTCAGCTTCTTTAAGATGTGCTGTAGATGTAGGGCACCAGGTGGGCAGCCAGCCAGTTAGCCATCCTGACCTAGAATTCCAATCATAAAATGCAAATAAGTGAGTGCATATTCTTCTCGATTCATCATAGAGGAATGAAATTTAGCACTGCCCTGGGGAAGCTTCCTGGGCGATTTTATGCTAACGCTTTGGCTAACTTTCTCAAAATGCTCTCATAATAGGCAGATATTATTGTTGTTTGGCCTTCCAGAAATTTAACAAGCAAAATATCTTGAGTCTCCCAAAAAAACTATTGCTATAATCCTTGCTCTTGGCCAGTTTGCTTTGTTTTGACTCAACCACTTCTAGCACTCGATAGCCAATGCTTTGATTGTTGCTTGTCTTGAGGGTTAGATCAGTAAAGCCAAGTCTCGCTGCCTGGCACAATTCTTCAAGGAAGTGCTTCAGGACCTTGCTCTCACTGCTTTAAAATTTCAATAGAGGGTCCGGCGCGGTGGCGCAGTGGTTAAGGTCCTCACCTTGCACACCCGGGATCCCATATGGGCGCCGGTTCTAATCCCGGCAGCCCCGCTTCACATCCAGCTCCCTGCCTGTGGCCTGGGAAAGCAGTCGAGGACGGCCCAAAGCTTTGAGACCCTGCACCTGCGTGGGAGACCCAGAAGAGGCTCCTGGCTTCGGATCGGCATAGCATCGGCCCGTTGCGCTCACTTGGGGAGTGAATCATCGGACGGAAGATCTTCCTCTCTGTCTCTCCTCTCTGTATATCCGCCTTTCCAATAAAAAAATAATAAAAATAAATCTTTAAAAAAAATTCAATAGAAAGCTCTGTTATTGGCAGCTGATTTGAGTACAAAGGTTTTGGCTCCCAAGGGCATACAGTTTGCTCCACTTTAATTTCTTAAAATTGTTTAAACTGAACCCACTGAGATACCTATGATGTTAGTTATTTAAATTTTCTATTATTAGGGCCTGATGCAATGGTTCAATGGCTAAATTCTCTCACTTTGCAAGTGCTGGGATGCCACATCAGTGCCAGTTTATGTCCTGGCTGCTATGGGCTAGGGAGGCATTACAGAAAGTCTTGGGATCCCATATGAGTGCCAGTTCTAATCCTGGTGGCCCTGCTTCTCATCCAGCTCCCTGCTTGTGGCCTGGGAAAGCTGCAGAGGAAGGCTCAAAGCCTTGGGAACATGCATTCATGCGGGAGACCTGAAGGAGGCTCCTGGCTCTTGGCTTCAGGTCAGGTCAGCTCCGGCCATTGGTCAACTGGGGAGTGAACCCGCAGACCAGTGAACAGAAGATTCTTCTCTCTGTAAATCTGACTTTACAATACAATAAATAAATAAATAAATCTTTTTTTAAAAAGCAACCTAGCACTAAGTTAAACCTCTCTTGTTCTTATTCAAACACTTAAATTTAAAAACATAAATTAATACCATCAGGAAATTACTTATAATTCAATATCTCCTGAAGTATCTTTACACTGAAAACTATATAGTGAACAAAATATAATAAGAGGTATTTTAATTGCATTCTTAATGAAACTATGAAGCACATGTTTTCCCTAAGCACTGAAAATCTTTCTGTCCAGTTTTACTTTAACTACATGCCAAAACATTTCATAGAAACTATCTTCCACTTCTTTCCTACAGCGTCCCTACAGAATTGGGTACTACACACACAACGGGGTCAAAGGAACACTTCCAAAGAGTGAGAAGCAGTCTCCCTTTTCTATCCTTGGGTGGATGGCCTTTTGTTCAACAATCCCCACATCTTACTTTGCCACCTGTACTATCTGAGCCCTGTAAAAGCCACCCAGCCAACTGTGTCTTTGAGGTAAACCAAGCACTCCTTCAATGAGACATCTGCCCCTTCCACAGGTAGACACTGCATTGGTGCATAACCACTCCCCTCACACGCCCCATAAAGGCCCATGATAGGGAGGGGCTCGCGCTCTTGGTCCTGTGCTTCCATTGCTCTGGCATTCCAACTCTTGGCCTCCCCAATACCTGTGTGCTCTCTGGCTTCCTGTGGACAGACTCTGAGGACAGGGAGCCCCAAGCATAGCCCCTGTGTGTCTGTATTCCTCACCCTTTGTTCACTGCTTGGGTGAGTCAGGGAAGATGCAAATGCTAAGGTGCTTTGTATTTCTCATCTGTGTACTTTCAAGAGTTCCAGGAGAGATAAGGTCTAGCAGTAACAGAATGTGGACAGAGAAGCCAAAAATGGTGAATGTTTTCAGCTTTATAATCGTGTTCAGGTTGTTCGCTGTACATCTCTTAGGATAACTTACTTTGCTGGGGAAGCTGGGACATAGGTCTTCAGTTTAACAGACAGACTTCAGGTTAACGACCATTTGTTCCTCTCAGGGTTTCGAGTCAGACTGGATTACCACAGAGACTTCATTTGCTAATTTCTGGTGGGCACTGCCATTACCAAGCCTGGCTAATAAAGACTCCTTAACACATCCGAGATTTGTCTGGTTGATCTCTCTTGCACCCTGCAATAAGTTCTAGTCACAGATGCTCCGGTTCTGGTCCAGTTCCCAACTAATGGTCTAGGAAAAGGAACAGAAGATGCCTAGTGCTTGAGCCCCTGGTGCCCACATGGGAGACCTGGATGAAGCTCCTGCCATAACCTAGCCCAGCTTCGGTCACTGGGCCATCTGGGGAGTCCTCACTCTCTTTCAAATAAATAAATAAATCTTTAAATAAATTTTAAAAGCCCACACTAGAGGTGGCATAGAGGAAAGTCAAGTAACCTGTGCTTAGCATATTATCAGATTCTATTTACCTAAGAGACTCATTATAAGTATCTTGAGTTTGGCCCATGTGACCCCATTACTTTCCCCATTTAACTTTTTCTTTGAGAAGTTATAATTAGCATTGTACTTATAAGCTAGGCCATCAACATTTAAATTTCCTTGTAATCTTTGTTTTGTTTTGTTAAGCACTTAACCATCTATACTATTACTAAACTGGAATTACACAATCTATAAATATTGTGAAACCAGGAAAGAAGTTTCATAGTAATCTGAAGAAAATGTACAGAAGTCTGGACAATTTCCACACACTCTTGGCAACTTAAAATAACATTTCTAATTAGGTTATAAGCAAAGAGGATTTCATTGTATTACACTTATGTTTAAAATAGCCTCCATCCAACTTACTGACACAATCAAAAGAAACAATACATGTTTGTTTCATACTAGCCTAGAAAAAGCATCTGGTTTCATTTAGAAAAAACTGTGAGGTTTTTATTTTACTTATAATATGCACATTAATTAAGATGTATGACTATATACTATGCCTTTTACTAATTCCTCAAGAGTGAATGATTGAACATTCACAGTTCGAAATTTTAACACTTGGGCAACCAAAGTCTTTTTGGGAACTGAATTCCTAAATCCTGTTCTCAGGGAACAGAAAAAAAAAAAAGACATGGAGTTTGTCTGCTATAATTACAATTTTAATGGCTAATTTTATGTCATTTATTTAGATAAACCATAGACATAGGCAATCTTATCAATGAATGAGATTTGTCACAATATAACCCCACTGCTTTATATATTTTTTAAAACATTAATTAAAAGTCTTTTAGCACCTCTGCCTTCTAACCTGTAACTTTTAAAGAGCCAGAAATGGAAAAATTAGTGCTTTAAGACAAGTAAGAGTGGTGGAAATATTTTTCCTCAGTTGTTTCCTGCCATACAATAAACAAACCATTCTGGAATCAGACACCTTCATGAGCTCATCATCAAACATACCTGAAGAAGTTACAGGTGTAGTTTTACATTGACCTTGCTCAGTCAGTCAGTTACTAGATGATAAACAATCTACACCTGCATCTCAAAATGAATATTTTCAATAAAACCACAACTCTTTTTCTTTTTTAAGATTTATTTATTTATTGGAAAGTCAGATATACAGAGAGGAGGAGAGACAGAGAGGAAGATCTTCTGTCAAATGATTAACTCCCCAAGGGAGCACAACGGCTGATGCTATGCCGATCTGAAGCCAGGATCCAGGAACTTCTTCCGGGTCTCCCACACGGGTGCAGGGTCCCAAGGCTTTGGGCCACCTTCGACTGCTTTCCCAGGCCACAAGCAGGGAGCTGGATGGGAAGTGCGGCTGCTGGGATTAGAACCGGCGTCCATACAGGATCCCAGCGTTTAAGGCGAGGACTTTAGCCACTAGGCCATGCCAGGCCCAACCATAACTCTTTTACAATGCACAATCAGTAGTTGGAAATTACAGAACCATGAAGTTAGGGTAAAAAATTTAGTAACTCATCTAAGTTATTTTTAAACTAATTTATTTCAGAAGGCCTACTATAAATAAGTTATATCTTTAAAGCCTCATTCAGAGACATGTGTCATTCTAAAATGTTTAAGTCAGTGGTTTTTGTTTTTGTTTTCAATTGAGTGGACCAACTCTGATACTTTTTTTGTTAACTTCTTTGTCACAGGATTAAATTCTGCATTTGTTAGTCTGTGATTGGCATTTTTTGGAAGGCAGGGGAAAACAGTGAAGTATGGGTTGGCTCATCCAAGCTCAGGGCAAACAACCCTATGCCAGCTTCCCCAGGACAATGTGAGTTCATGATCTTAACTGTTCTTTCAACACAGCTACAATGCATACAGGACGTGTCATGAGTATTCAAAAACACTTTGTATCAAAATACTTTTTCAATTTCAATTTTTCATAAACTTTCCAAAGTACTCTCATATATGTTTTTGATCCTCATGCTTGCATCAACATAATCTATAACAGTTGAGATGTTTAGTAAAATTGTATTGAAGTTTACTATTTATAAAGTCCCTTCAAGCCAGTAAGACAAAAGCCTTGTCCTCACTGAGCTGATCCAGCAAACTCACAACTATATTATGAAAAACTGACACAAGTACCACAAAGAAGGTTCAGAAAAACACTATGTACCTTCAGAGAAAGGAGATCACCACCTTGTGTTAGAGAAAAGAACATAATCCAAATCCTTCAGAGGATGTGAGCAAGGAACGTTTAGGAAACAAGAGAGATACAGCCAGGCTCTAATTAAGAGAATGTGCCCAGCAAGGAAGTAAGATTCCAAAGCTAAACGGGAGCCATGCTGGCTAGGATGGGCTCTGACGTCAGCCTAAGGACCCATCATAAAGCCAATGTATGTGAGAGACAACATATAAAAAGCCACTCCATGTGCAGCAGTGCCTTCTGGAAATGTGACTATGCCTTCTGGAAATGTGAAGCAACCAATGAAATGAGCTACACAGAAAGCATGTTATCTAAGTTGTCTAACCCAGGGGAGGAGGAACCAGGAGGCTGAGCCAGGCCGGCTCCCAGTTACAGACCATTCATTTAGCATCTGCTCAACTAAGTAACACGTTTGGTATTCATGGGCAATAAAAGGGTATGGACAGGAAAAGACAGCACCATCACTGCTGTGATGCTGGATCACAACAAGAATGCAACTGCCCTGGAAACAGAAATCCCTTGGAAGAACTGGGCTTGCTCACTGTTTAGTCGGATGGAAGGAAGGCCCAAGGCAAGACCTAGACATGTTAAACTGGAGGACTCCACCAAGCACTGAAGAGAACCAGAAAGAAAAAGAGACCCCATGTCCCCTTCACAGACATGGGAGTTCAGCAAGGATGACCACAGAATGTCGGGGGATGGTTGACGACCTTCAGAGAATAGGAAAAAGAAGAGACTCTAATAAAAATAGCTGTCTCTCAGGGTAAGAAAGAATATACGTGCTAGAATGGCCAATAAGAATTTCAAAAGGAAGTAGCCATCATTACAGGAGCCAGGAAAGATAAGTACTGAGAAACATAAAAAGCCACTAGGATGTGGCATTGAGGAGTTTTGTGAGTTTTAGTAAGAAGTCCAGGTCCTAAGAAGGCAAGGGCTTCAGAACAGGAGGAGGGAGGAAGACACACATCTTGTTATCTTTCAAAAAGACAAAACAGAAAAACTTACTCTGTCTCCAAGGCAAAGAGCTACATTCAAACTACAATGTCAACCCAGTGTTAACAAACCCAACAGAAGCTCAGAAGGGAGAAGAGAATCCTTTACACTTAATTTATACCATCTGATGACTTAAACAGTTCTACCATGGCCAATTTCAATCTGCCAAAGGTTGGCAAAATAACTGAAAATACAGCAGCGTCCTTTTAGTATAACTCAACTCCAGCTCCACAACCCTTCTATGTGTACCTGCAACTGAGCAACTCTATGGCAGCTTTCCTTTACACTCAACTGACACTTGATGATTCTCTAGGCCAACTGTACAACAATTCACGGAAGTCCACCCTATTCTGGTACATTTTCAACTGTATTGCAACTGGAAAGGCTTGGGTGTTGAAAGCCAAATGTCTCCCTGGCAAGCCTGTCTTCACTAAAAACCACAAAGGAAAACACAAGAATCCTATACTTCAAATGACTACTTCAGAATTGTTCCCTTATTAGCATCCCCTCCCCAACCAAAGCCCGGACGTCTTAGGGACAGGGAACACGACTCAAACATCTAATCCAAACGAGAAGCAGCAGAAATACGGGAAACACGTCTTAGCCTGAATTCAGACAGCTGAAGGACTCCAACCAGCCAGTCCTAGTACTAGCTGGCAGCAGTTCCAACTGCAAAATGGGAAGAGTGCCCAGGCACAAGCCACCCCCGTCCCCTGACAACACTTGGGCAACACCCAGCAGGGGCCTGGGCTTAGCTTCCCCTATTCACCTACTGATGTAGTTCCGAAGGTCCCATCAGCGTGGGCACTGGCCACTGCTCAGGGTACGCCAACATCACCAGGGATGCCCACCTCCGTCCAGGCACAGCTGTTTAAATGCTGCCCTCAGGGACCTCCCACCATCACAACACTGAGCCCAAAGGGCTACCTCACAGCACATCTGCAAACAGCCAACACTGTTTTCACAAACCACATGGGAACACTAGTTACCTGTTATGTTCCTGCCTGCATCTGGGAGACCCCCAGCATCCCACCTTAGTTAACAAGGGTGTCATCCACACACCAGAGCAATGGCCCCTTCATCACAAACAACCCAAAGAACCCAGTATCTAAAATTGACAATTTCTCCATTTCTTGGGTTTCAATATCTCTGACTTTTCCCATGCTAGTTTCTTCAAACATCTAAAGTAAACAAGTTAGCAAGTATTAAACACACATTGTGGGTGGGTGGAGAGGGAGGCTGTTAAAAACAGGTCCCCCCTCCAATACAAATGAGCAAACAAGGCAATAAGCAATCTTCATAACAAATAGCTTTTCCACTAATAACTATTCTTCTGCTAACAAGTGCATGAACTTCTTACCATGTAGGAAAAACAATAAACTCGGCATTCTGTATATTCCAAAGTCTTCCTGTTAGTTATCTATCCTGTAACCTGCATAAAGTTTCAGGTACCCATCTTCATCTGAAAACACAAACTACGACCCAACCAATAACTACAAGCCAGGCAGGGAAGAGCCGGCCAGCAAAGGCTCTGCATGTGAAAGATGGGTGATCACTTCTGAACTCGGGATCCAATCGCAAGTGTCCACCTGCTTTCCACCCACAGTCCGCGAGCTCTGCGCTGTCCTTGCCCCTAACTTTCCCGCGCCCGCAGCGCTCGATCCTGCGGTTCTCCATCCAGCCCCTTCCTCCGGGCACCCCGCGGCACTTTGGGAAGCCGGACCCGAAGAAGTGGACCCAGGGACTCGGCCATTTCAGGGCTTCCCAGTCAGGTGCGGGGTCGGCCGGGGCACACCCGAGACCGCGCTTGGCGGAGGATCAGAGCGGGCGTGGACGCCTCGGTCACCTCGCCTCCTCGGAGCCGCTTACACAACATCTGGGCGGCCCCTTGGTGCGGGCAGTCAAGGTGGCCGGGGCTTCTCCTCCCTGCTCCGTGGATCCGCGAACCAGCACTGAGCCCGGCCTCTCTAGCCCGCGCTGAGGAGCCCTACAGCCCTGCCCCGACCCCCATGGCCTAGCCGCGTTCACCTCTCGCCCGTGTCTGCCGAGTCCACCTCCTCCTCCGCCGCCATAGTCGCTGCTGCCGCCGCCGCGCAGGCGCCCGGGGCCCGAGTTTGGAAGCCGGCTGCCCAGGCCGACTGGGCTGCCCAGGGCCGCTGCCGCCGCCCTTAAGGCCGCGCCGGCCGCGCATGCGTGGGCTGTCCACCGGCAGGAGCGGGCGGTGCTGTCGCGCGTGTGCGTGCGCGTGCGCGTCCGGGCTACGCCACATCATGCACGCGCAGACGTCATCCCTTCAGGCGTGCTTCTGTGTGGGCGTTGGGTGAGACTGACAGGTTAGTGGAGCCGGTGAGACTGGTCCGACCGAGTCAGATAGTAAACTGACTTGTACCACGTCTGCATTGGTGCCTCATCCCCTTGACATGGCCTGTCAGGAGCTGAGAGTTGTCTGAGGGCCTGCAGATTTTGTCCAGTGGGGAGAGAAGTGCCAGCTTGCAGGTGCACCCTAGTCTTCCTCCAGCCCTTCCTCGCAGGTGGAAGCCCAAGGGGAGAGGAGGGTTCCCAGGGCCTGTCAGCCAAAGGTACATTCTCTGCTGTCCTTGGCCGTGTCAGTGTGTAGTCACCTCAGGCTGCGGCAGGGGCCTGGCTCCTGGAAACGTCAACCTGCTTTCCGACCAGCTGCCACCCCCTACCCTGCAGCCATTCCTCTTGTTTGCCTAACTTGGTGCCCACTCTGCTCGAGGCACTGGGGAAGGAGGCATTAGGCAGGCCTCTTGCCTTTAGGGAGCCCGCGACCCCTAACTTTAGGTGGATGGCTCTGAGCCCTGGTGGGCCTGTCCCGCTGCAGTGGGGTGGCTGGGAGGCCCAGCAGGAATCGTCAGCCTATGACAGAAAACCCAACAGAGAGGGGGCGGGTGTGTGTGGCACAGTGGTCCTTCGCAAGGATCCCACTTCTGGGCAAAGCAGCCTGCCCTCAAGGCTCCGTGGGCCACCACCTCCCGTTAATCCTGCTTCCCAGTGTTGCTGCTCTGGGGATGAGGGGTCAGGCAGTTTTGGGGACACGTTCCAATCCTGGCAGTCCCCCTGCTCTGTCTTCCTGACGCCCTCCGAGAATGCCTGCCATCTATCTGCCACTCAGGCTCAGCCGGGCGTCATCGCTGTGGCTTTCCGATGGGCGAGATTAGGAGTTCGTCAGAGAAGCAGGGGCAGTTCCTCCAGCGCTGCCTGTGTCAGAGATCCACCCACCTCTGTGCTTACAGAAGCACTCTCTACCACAGTCAAAATTTGGAATCCATCAGAGAGTCTATCATCACATGAATGGATTAAAAATGGGCAAAATCGAATATCATTCAACTATAAAAAAAAAAAAGAATGGGTGGGTCTCAGGACGGGGCGTCTCATGCCTGGATCCCGGACGGCCGCCATGGGCACATGGTGAGCCGTCCTCCCCGGGCCTGCTGGGTTTCGGGGGCCGCTTCCTTCGGGGTGAGTAGACCGAGGGGGGGAGGCCTCCGGGACTGGGCAGGTCCGGGGCCCACCCGCCGCCTTCATGGGGCGGTGAATGGGATTTGGGAGGGGCGCGACCTTGGGCCTGGGTTATTTAAACCTCCAGCTGCCTCCTGGCAGCTGGTGGGTCTCAGGACGGGGCGTCTCATGCCTGGATCCCGGACAGCCGCCATGTGCTGAGCTGTCCCCGGGCGGCCAGTGCGCCATTTGGTGCCAGGCTCTGCCTGCTGGCCGCCCGGCCGGGGAGCTCTGGGGATTTGGTTCTTTGAGTTGCTGCTTAATTAGCTCCAGGTTGAACCCATTGTGTTCTTGGACCTGAAAGAGGCAGTAACTCTTCCTTAGCAAAACTTGTAATCACTAATAATTCTGAGCACCAAATACCAGTCATGCAGAAGCTATGGCTTGGGGTTTGCCCTGCACAAGTAGCTCCAACAGTTGGCCAATGTGTCAACTGGTAATGGAACAGAGCAGATTAGGCACGACTGAGCAAACCTTAGCCCACAAGTAAAACTAGAAACCAGGAGGGAGCAGAGGTCATGCCGAGCTAGGCTCTTGTACCTGCTGGTCTGTGGGAGCCTGGGACGCTAAGCCACAGTGTCTAAGGCAGAGTTCGGGACAGGGGAGGGGTTGTGCCAAGCTGAGTCAGAGCATCCATTGGCAGGCATGTGATCTATGCCTGGGAACGGACCCGGTTGGGGAGCAAAGGGGACAACCCTAGCTGGGCTGAGGTTCCCACCAAGAGGCGCGTGGCCTGGAAGGGGGGCTGCATTCTGATCTGGAAACAGTTGTAGTCTCCCTTGGCACAAGTGTGGACTGGGATTGGATGCACTGAACTGGGCCGGACCCCGACTCCCCCTGGTGTTCTGGAGGACCAGGGCAGATGTGGGATGGACTAGGCAGGGTCTCAAACCCCTACTGAGCCATGTGTGAGCCATACGTGGGTATGGACAAACCATGGCTGGGCTGGAACATCCAACAGCAAGAACCAGATTGGGTTGAAGGCCAGTCAGGAAAAGCCACAGTTCCTGCTATGACAGGAGGTGGACTGAGTAGGGTTGGCTCATGGACCCACTGGTAAGCGTGAAACCTGGCATTGGGAGAGGTTCTGATGGAGGAGCCTGGGCAACTCCTCTGGCAGGACACAGACCCAGCAGGTAAACGCAAGAAACATGATAGGAAACAGCCCAGAAAAGGCCATGGAAACCTACCCACTGGCATACAGTTGGCAGACGTGGGGGCAAGACCAGGCTGAATCTGTCCACATCATCCACTGGCAAATCCAGGCACCAGTGTGGGTCGACCCAGGGTCGGTCGCAACAAAGACTAGTGCACATTATGGAATGCCGAGGTGAGGTTGCCTGTACCAGAAGGGACCGCAGCGCCCAACCAGCCTGAGAACAAGCAAGGAAGTGGGCAGAGCTGGCAGGGGAATAAGGGAGGGTTCCTTTGCTGGACAGCTACTTCCGCAGGAGAGCATGGGCTGGGATGGGGGCAGACCAGACTAGGCAGAGCTACCACACCTGTGCGCCTCATGTGGACTAGATCAGGGAAAAGCCAGGCTGGGCGGATTATTCCTACTGGTGCAAACAAAATTAAAGTGGGCGAGGTTTGTTTGGGCAGCATCAACTGGAATCTGGGAGTGGGAGAGGCCTGGGAGGGAAATAGTGGGCTCATCCCTCTTGGGTTACCACTTCCACGGGAGGACATAAAACTAAGACAGCTGCTGGGGTGGAATGGGATGTGGGACAGACTGGATTACTGCTACACTTACTGGCAAACCAGGGTAGGGGGTGGGCCTGGTTGGGGTTATTGTGGGTCGCTCCAACCTAGGCTACAGCTCCCGCTGGTTTATGTGAGGGCCAAGTATGTGCTGGGCAGAACCAGACTGGACTGCAACACCCATTGGCTCCAGTGGAAGACGGGAGTGAAAACAGAACCAACCCAGGAATTGCAACCACCAGCTGATTGGAGCGATGGACGGAGCCAGGCCCTGTACTTGTTAGCACATACAAGAAGTTTCTTTGGAGATCTTCCTAATCTAAATGCTGGACTCAGAACCATAACAAAGAAAAGAGAGAAGACAGAACGGGTCAACCAACCATCTAAGCTATGATGGACTATGTCAATCAGTGGATTTTTCAAAGACCTCATAGTGCTTGGAGCGGCAAGATTGACAGCGATTCATAACTGTTGCAATATCAAAACCACTTGAGCAAGAACCTCAGAGCATGCCCTACACCCGGGACTTGGGGAGGGTGGGAAATTGGGTGGGCCTTCTCCCTTAATACCCCCCTTTTAAACATGAAGGTAACAATATGGAAAACATATTAGGATTATCCACTTTCCTGTAGCCCTTGAACCTTCTTACCCTAATTAACTATGTAAAGAATGTCAAAATAAAATTTATTAATAAAAAAAAGGAATAAAAAAAAAAAGAATAAAAAATCTCTGAGAATTCCAAAAAAAAAAAAAAAAAAGAATGAAATTTTGCTATTTGCAGTAAAGCTGACTCAACTAGAAGACATCATATGGAGTGGAATAAGCCAGACCCAGAAAGACAAATACTGCATGTTCTAAGTGGAAGCTAAAATTTAAAAAAAGAAATGGGGGGAATTTCTGTGTGTGTCAGCATTGTTGAAAATACGGTTTTATAAAACTTTGTCAAACCAATGGTTAAGACTGTTCTACCAGCATAGTTTTAATGATCTGAAATTACTTGAAGATTTACTGTATATGGGCAAAATGGCCATTTCCCCATTCAATTCACGTTTGTAGCCATTATCTATATCCCCATGGGAGGAAGGGACTATCATACTCTATGATTGTATCTATAAATCATATGAAGTTAGTTATAAACTAATTAAAGTTAAAAATTGAGGGGCCCAGCACAATAGCCTGGAGGCTAAATCCTCACCCTGCACACACTGGGACCCCCTATGGCTGCCAGTCCATGTCCCAGATGCTCCACTTTCCTTCCAGCTCCCTGTTTGTGGTCTGGGAGGCAGTGGAGAATGGCGTAAAGCCTTGGGACCCTGCCCCCGTGTGGGAGAAACAGAAGAAGCTCCTGCCTCCTGCATGCTCTTCGCCAGTCTCTTCTGTGACTGAAGAACTGAATGCTACCATGGTCCCAGCCAGGCCAAACATGCCATGTAGGGTGATAACTAATGCCCCATTCATTTCAAACCTGATTGAGATTTCCAGTCCCCCAGGGGAAACGCCAAGCGGTCATACAGTCCTGTATCTTTACCACCAACACTCATTAACCTGAGCAGAGGAGGGCAAGTTTTCTGAGGACTGTGTCCTGGGTGCCTTATTAAAAGACTGTCACAGGGAGATGATAGGCAGGACCTGGGACGATAAGGGGGAAATGGTGGCTGAGTCAAGGGAGGAGGTTAGATACCAATTAGCTGTAGGAACTTGGAAAAACAGATCACAGGACTGCAGACTCTACTATGCAGGCAAACTTCCTTGTGGACCTTGTGGAACTGCAGCTTCTGACTGCAGATCTGGGGTGGATCCTAACACTTGGTCACGTGTATATTTCTGCTGCCAGTCAGTGCCACCTGCCTCTCAATATCGACAAAAAGAAGTAAGATTGTCATACAACAATATATAACAATTTAATGTCTGAGGGGCTGGTGT